TTCATAAAATAATTAATGAATGTAAGTTTCATTTTGCATAAACAATCGTTTCATAGTAAGTATCTTTTAACCAAAGGTAAGATAGACTAACGGTAAACCTGCCGCAACAGTGAAGGTTTGGGAGGGGGTTTTATACCCTATCCGCTCTCATCTTTAATTTATCCCTTGAAATTTCTTTTACTTTCTATAAAACCTTTTGTATTAACATAGAGACTGAGTGCTGGAATCCTATATATACGCTTATGTGGGAGTTAATAATATTTTCCTTAAACTTTTACGCACCGTTTGTTACCAAATGAATCTAGAATTCATTTTATTTTAAAATGAATTATCGTATAGAAATCATTGTCAAATGAAATCTTGTGATTGGTATGTCATATTCAAATCTTAAGAAATAAAATGAATTGAATTCCCAAACCATGTTTGGAGTACGTTTGTAATTGAATTGAATTAAAATTTTCCAACTACGCCCTTATTAATTTTCGCTATAAACAATATTCATTGAAAATTCATCTTCTAAAAAATGATTTCGGTCCCATACGTAAAATATCAAAGTGTTATTGTGTGTTTCTATTCTATTCATTAGTTCTTTCGATATTTTGTCAATGAACCATACACTCTAGTTGTGCCTTCTCAACATATTGATGTAATCAAAGCAGAAATATCAAATAACCAGAATATGCTACTAGCGCTGCAATCAAATTCTTGACGACGTTCCTCATATTGCATGAGTTGGCGTCAAATAATACATGTAGAATTAGTTTAGTTAATAAATGAGGCTGATTATGTAATTTTGTTATAATTAGTAAATTCTTGTGGAATACATTTGGAAATTCCATCTCAATTCCTCGGAATTGCTATAACTAGCTCCAATTCCGTAGAATTCAAAATTTAGAATTCAAAATGAATTCTTTTAAATACCAAACAAAAAAAGATTTCATTTCAAAATGAATTCCTTAAAATTTATGAAATTCATTTATACCAAACGGTATGTTACTATTTTCTTGGCCCGCGCAGCGGTAAGAAATTATTGGGGCTAAGATATGTAATTTTTTTTATAAACTATGTTAATCATTAAAAATGACATAAGTCATATGTTTACATGAGAAATAAATATATATCCATAAGCTTTAATTATTATGTAAGGCTCATATATGATCAATCAATAACTTTTACATAATGTAATTGTATTCTACATAACTATAATAGAATGTTATTCATAAATCTCCCATAATATGTGGTTTAATAATAAAATTAAAAAGTATCACATTTGATTAAGAGGCTATACAAAAACAAATGATTTTACAAAATCTAAGAGTAGTGCAAATAACAAATAGCTTGTTACGTAATTGTTATAGAATGGTATTGCATAAATCTTCCACAATATACGGTCAAATAATAAAACTGGAAAGTGTCACATTTGATTGAAACGTTATACAAAAATAACTAATTTTACAAAATCTAAGAGTAGTGCAAATACAAATAGCTTGTTACATAATTGTTATAGAATGGTATTGCATAAATCTCCCCCAATGTGTGGTCTAATATAAATTAGAATGTATCACATTTGATTGAACTACTATACACAAACAACTGATTTTACAAAATCTTAAGGTAGTGTAGATAACAAAGAGCTTATTATGTAATGTTATAGAATGTTATTACATAATTCTCACATAATATATGGTCTACACTAATTATATAATTATAAAGCATCACATTCAATCAAACTTCTATATAAAAATAATTGATTTTACAAAATCTTAAAGTAGTGCAAATAACAAAAAGCTTATGATGAAATTGGGTACATGAGATAAATTCCCTTAGTGAACAGTACACTAAGCTAAAAATAAAGTATCACATTCAATCAAACTTCTATACAAAACTAATTGATTTACAAAATCTTAAAAAGTAGTGCAAATAACAAAGAGCTTACGACGAAATTGGGTACATGAGATAAATTCCCTTAGGGGTCGTTTGGATGAGGAATTGTAACGGATCAATTTGACACAATTGTCTCGTTTTGAGACAATTGTACCAAATTGCCTCGTTTGCCAGCAAAATTTTTGGATGGATCAATCTGCCTGAGGTATTTTGAATTGATCCGTTTTGAGTCAATTTCAATTACCTGAGGTGGGGGCAGGTAATTCGAATTGACTCGTTTTAATTGGCTCGTTTATAAAACGAGACAATTGGTCAAATTGACTCATTTCTAGATTGATCCATCCAAACGACCCCTTAGTGAATAGTAAACCAAGCTAGTGATGGCAATGGGGCGGGGCGGGTACTTCAAAACCCATGCCCTGCCCCATGCTACTATAGGTCGGGGCGGATAAAACCCGTGCAGGTACGGGGCGGGTCGACCCACTCTTACATGTTATTTGAAAAAAGAACGCAAATTTTACCTTTTACGATAAAACGAATGAGAAAACACTTGATGAATGAAAAATAGTGATAATAGAATGAGTAATTGAGTCTAACAAGTTGAAAGATCGACTCTAACTAGTTGAAGAAAAGTCAAAATAGGAGTAATATGTATAGATTAAGATAGTAATTTATGGTAATAAATTAAGATACAATTGGTCAAGAATGGAGTGGGACGGTGTAGGGCGGATCAGAAGTAGATACCATACCCCGGGTCGGGTAATACCCACGGGGCGGGTTCAAATTGCCAACACTACACCAAGCTAAAAAAACTGCCTTGTGATTCCGTAAGAATAGAACAATAAAGGGAGATTTTGTGATATGGAACTTGATTCAGGTCCAAATGTACACATTTTACCCCTCATTTCTTATTCCTTTAGCTTAGTATTTCATTGTCCCTCGACATATGTGACTCGCTATGGCACAACTCCTAACAAAGGCCAAGTGTAACCAATGAAAGGGACTGCAGTATAGTGGCTCAAGTAATAAATATCGAATCCACGGGTCTCTAGAGTTACTATTACTCAGCTTCAGTTCATTATTTAGCAAACCAGATTAATAAGGAAGAACTAAAACTACTCTAGCAAACTACAGTTAAAGTTAATCTAATTACAGGTTGGGAACTCACTTAGGTATGATTCCTCCTAGCCACTAGCCAGACTAACGATTGATGATTTCTAACTTGTTTCACTTTCATTCACAATGTGGAGAATCCTTGACTAGACCTTGAGTCTCGAATAAAGGAACAAGGCCCTCTTGAGTCAATTGCCTAGAGGGACGTATCCTTCTCTAGAACAACCGATCAAGGCGTTCTGAACTAGATTCCCTCTATCGAATGAGGTTCTCAATCGATACAAAGCAGTGAATCAACCATCGACTAAAGCAATCGATCCACTACTATCAATCTATGGTGCTCTATTGACCTAATCAGGTATTCTCTCTCATAGGATCAAAGCAAAATCAATAATCTCGACTAAAGCAGAATTGAATCATGAAAACATGCATAGATTGAATGTGAACTCAAGATTATCAAGTCAGAGTACTCATACAATCATCCAATCAAACAAACATAGCTAGGGTTCCTCAAAACCTAAGTGAAGGGAAGTTACTCCATAGAGAAGAGAGACACTGCAGTAAGAATCTTCAGATGATCAGTCTTCAAGTCCGGGATTGTTCCTCGAGCTTCCAAGGCAAAGAAATCCTCCAATCCCACTCTTAGAATGCCCTCAAATCGCCTTCTCTCTCTTTAGTTTGTCCCTTGGGTGTTTGGGATCCAAAACCCAGCTCTCACTCTCCTTTGGCTCGAAATTGGCTTAAAAAACCCGATTCTGGGCAAAACACTGTCGAGGACAAGGCCGTGTTTTGCTTTTGCCCGCCCGTGTTTTGCCCCGTGTTAAAAACACGCCCGCACGCGTCGGCCAAAACACGGTCGTGCCTAAATATGGGCACGGCCGTGTTTTGATTTAGGCGCGCCCGTGTTTTTACTGCCGAACCTGTTCCCCTATATTCAATGCTTCGTTTCTCCCTCGTCCAGACTCCGAATCAGTCACCGTTTGATCCCAGAAGCTCGTAGTCTCGTCCTCTTTCTTTTAATGACAAGCTTGCATGATTCTTTGTCCATAAAGTGAGGTAGAAATCCATTCTTCTTCAGGTCATGCCCGAGTTTCTTGTCCCTAATCGCCAATTGATTTCTGATTTACTTGAAACTTGCGCCTATGCTTCACTTTATGTGCTAGGACCTGAAATGTGATAAAAGAACACAACCTAGCAGAAAATAGGCCAAAGACGCGATAATTAAAGCTCAAACGATCAAGAAACAAAGGGGAAAACATGTGCAAATATCGAGTCATCAAATCCCCCCCCACTTAACCGTTTGCTTGTCCCCAAGCAAACCTAACTCAAACCAATGCAGCTCTCCAGAACTCTAAGCAACATACAACCTCGATTGTCGGTAGAGGATTTCCTAGATCATATAGCAGCTTACGAGGTCAATTGGTCTTCTAATACGTTCCCTATCTCTCTCAATGCGAGTACTAGACTCAAGCCAGGATCATGAGAAGAAGTAGAAGTAAGACAGTCAGTTCATGGATAAAGGGACTCATGTCATTCCCAACCAAGGACTCGTTGTAACGGGGTTCTCTTTTCACTTCATTTCACCGTTGGAACCCCATTTTCACTTTCATTTTACTTTTTTTTTCTTTTTCATTCACTTGGCGGGGGTTCAAACTGCAGTCTTTTGCACGGTCAACCGTTATTAGTCGAGCAAGAGCAATTTATGTACATCTGGCGCTCGCCAGAGTACTTCTTTTAACTCCTTTTCCTCAACTCGTGTGGAGAGTCAATTAAATTAAGGGGGGTCGGAAGCTCTATCCGTGCTCTTAAAAACACATCCTCAAGTAGGCAAACCGTTCAACTGGTGGAATTTTTACTTGTACTAGAGACAGCTTAGCTTCACCTTGTAGGAGTACCCCACTAAGGATCACTAAAATCTCTTCCGAAACCCGATTTTGTGCAATGAACGAAGCCGCACACGTTGGGGTTACCCCATGTTTAAGATTTCGATGATTTCGACATGGAGGACCAATTGCATTTCATTTTTCACATGAGCACCCTGTTCGATACACGAGTCCATAACACAATCCACATAGAGTCACCATTATCTCATGAATTCAATGGTCCTAGCTCCACTAATTCACAAAATCAACTGGCACAGTAGAGAGCTAGATAGGAAAAATCTTATACTTCAACATCCTCCATAGTGCTACACTACCTCCCTAGATTGAACATTACTATAGAGACTGTCAATTCAAAGCATACTGAGCAGGTAATTTGCAAGGAAACACATACTTAGAGCCCTCAAATTCAAAAAATTTGGATAGTGGACTAGGCTCCGAGCACACAAACAACCAAACATTCACCCGTATACATAATCGAAACTCCCCCCACACTTAAGCACGACATTGTCCTCAATGGAGGAAAGATAAGGAGGGTAGAACGAAGTTACCAGATCAAGGGTGAATGATGGTGGACGAGGCAGGCGGTGCATTCCAGGAGGAGAGAGTAGTCAGAACATAAACACCACATAAAATCTCACAAAGGTTGAGTTACTGACTCTAAAACCAAATAACAAAACTGACTCAACAGAGGAGAAAAAGAGAAAGAAATGAAAACAGACTGGTTGGGTTGCCTCCCAACAAGCGCTTCTTTCACGTCGTGAGCCGGACGATGGCTCCTAAGTTTCGGTCCACCCCAAAACCTCCTTGAAGTTGAGGTTCTCGTCAATGAGGTGGAGTCTCAAGTCACGAGCATGTGGTATGACAGGTGATGGAAGCTCGCGCACTTGATGCGGATGAAGTCTCCACCCTCGAGACCTCTTCTTCTCTTCTCTCGTCTCATTGCCCCAAACCAGATATGACAGCATCGATTGACCACCATCGCGTCCACCAAGAGGGACCGATGTCGACGTGACCATGGTATGGCAAAGAGACACTGCAAATGGATCCTTGCTAAGTAGTTCCTCGAAGTTTGATGGAGATATTAAATGTAACTCATGGCCGGTGCAAGCCTCTTCCACCTCAACTTCGTCCTCAGCCTGGACGCCAATTGCTTCTTCAACCTCCCTTCCTTGTTCATGTGGTATCACCCCTGGGAAATTATCAAGAACTCCTCCTGCTTCACTTTCGTCATTCTCCACAACTTCTTTCTGCACCCTTTCTTGCTCTTCTTCTTCTAGCACGGATTGGAGAGCAAGTTTCCAAGCAATTTCTTTCATGAGATCTTCTTGCATCTCCTCACTCATGCCCGCCTCTTCAAAGCTCAGTTTGGGATGTGGGAAGGTGTGGTCTGCTATGATATGACATTCCTGATCATGATCATCACGGGAGCTCTTCGTGACAACTTCAGTGTGATCCACTATGTCCTTGTAGCCTTCTTCTTCCTCCTCCTCTTCTTGTATGGTAGCAGAAGGGTGATCTGGAGCAGGTTGTGCAAAAGATCGCTCAAGATCATCGGCACTCTTCTTAAGGCTCAGGAGGATCTCCTCTGTTTCACGATAGGCCTGGACACAATGATCCATCCTGGAGCATGATCTCTCACAATCTCGAGCAAACTGCTCCATGAGAAGCCTCAATTCATAGTTTGGATCTGGCTGTGGAGTGTAGCATGGCTCTGCAAGAAGGCCCATGAAGGCCGCCATGGGTAACTCCAGCGTCGATGGCCCTTCTGGTTGTGGGAGAAATTCTTCTTGATAATGAGGTTGTTCTTGATATGCCCAGGGGTCCGGTTGTTCTCCGTAGTAAGGGGGTTGGTACTGGAACCCGAATCCATAGTCTTCTCTTCCTTGATTGCTCCAGGGAGTCTCGGGGTAATACCACTCGGATGGTGGTGGATACCCCCAATGATTGGAGAAGCCATGAGGATCCATGATTCAAATCTGCACCAACAGAAACAAAAACACCCAAGTGAAAAGCAAGGGTGGAAAAGAAAAGAAAATAAAAATGCTAAAGTAACAAACTTCTGCCTTTCCTAATACTCTAGAAAGTCCCCGGCAACAGCGCCAAATACTTGACACGCCAAAACACAACACCAAACTGCGACCAAGTGTAATCGCAGTCCGGGAATGCAGTAAAATGGCAAGTTCTATTATCAACCCGGGGTCTAGATCTACTGCTTACTCCGTGAGTATCTATTATCTAGCCAACTAAGTTAAGTGTTTGTTGTTTTAAGCAAAAGCAGAAAGAAAGCAGGAATTAGTACGGTTTTCTCAAGCAAAGAAGAGTCACTCGGGAATGAGTCCCCCTAGCTCCTTAGTTAGGTTTCAATTGTAATTTCCATGGGTTGATTTACTATTGATTAGACTGCGGAAGATCCGACAGTAGCTTGGAATCTCTTAAGCTGACCAAGCTCTCTCAGTCTAACTACCCGGCAGACGACTAGTCTTCACCGGGATAGAAAGCTGAAGCAATAAGCACAGAACTCCACTACTGGAATTGGATTCCAGTACAAAGCAGTAAACTGGCTAACTCTCGTATAGCCAATCTCCTACTACCGAATGATGAGGCTCTAACAACCTAATTAGATTCTATCTATCTCAGGTTGCAGCAGAAATCAGGAAAAGCTGATCAGACTTCAATTGACTCAATAAACATGCATCATTCGATTAAAACCAAACAGTTTAATCATCCCAAGTCATTACAATCAAATCCCTAACACATGGAACTAGGGTTCTTCATACCCAAGTGAGAGAAGGGTTATACTCCATAGAGAGAGAGAGGGAAACATAATACAGAGTAGTCATACTCATAAAGATGAGGAAAATCTACTCTGGGATGATGATTTCCACTCCTATGACGATCTCCAAGCTCGATTCGATGAAACCCAGCTCCAAGATAGCTTCTAGGATGTGTTCTTCGTACTTTCTCTCTCTAGGGCTCTGTTTTTGCTCTGAAAATCCGATTCCCTCACTTGCAGCCCGAAATTGGGTAAAAACCAAAAATTCCTGACTCACACGGGCAGGCCACACGGCCGTGTGGCATACCCAGTTGCCCGTGTGAGGTCAAAACGCCGCGTTCCGAGTAATTGGGTTTCAGGCTTCCCACACGGCCGTGTAGCTCACCCAGCCTGGCCGTGTGAAGCCTCGCAGAATTCCACACGGCCAAACTGCAACTTCACACGGCCGTGTGGATTTTACTTGTGCCCGTGTGAAGGCTCGCACAATCCCACACGGCCAAATTGGTCACTTGCACGGCCGTGTGAGTTGTGAGTGTGCCCGTGTGGCTTCCTTTGTGACTTGCCTCGCGCCCGATCTTCGTCCAATCGACCCCGAACTCACTCCCAAGCCTTCATTCACTTACTAGGACCTGAAATATTACAAACAAGCAAAACCTAGCGTGAAATCGTCCTATAACACGAGAATTACCATCTCAAACGGCTCCAGAATAGGGGTAAAAACATGTGCAATTAACAGCTTATCAATATGTCACGCTAGGTTGTGATTGTTTTGATACATTTCAGGTCCTAGCATGTGTGGAAGGGTCGAGGTCGAATTTTGGGATAATTGAAGGTCAAAAAGCGCAAAAACCAAAGAAAAGTATGAAGGCGACCGTGACAATTGCCCCGTAACAGTGAAGTGCAGGCGTCCAGGAAGCAGCCGCAGTTCACGGTCAAACAAGGGAGTTCACGGTATCCTAAGACTGTGAACTGTAGCCACAAACCGTGAACATCGAGCAGTCCAGCGAGGTTTCAGAGGTTACTGACGCCAGGCGAGTTCACAGTCGATAAGACCGTGAACTGGGGCCATTAACTGTGAACCCAGGAGAGTGAAGCAGTGCGTTTAGGAGACGACTGAGTTAACGGACGCATTTAGGTGTTCACGGTCGTGAACTGGCCAACGCGTCCGTGAACTGGTCACTTTCGGGCAAATATGAAGACAACAACGGGGAGTGAGAAGGGGGAGCTGGTTTTTGGGGAATGAACACTTTTTTTCTCTAGGGTTTCAACCCAAAACACCAAAGGGGAGTTCTAGTGAAGGAGGGAGTGATCGTGGAGCTTAATTGAAGGCACTGATCAAGCTTGGAAGCTAGGAATCAAGTCTAGAAGAAGAAGAAGAAGATCTAGAGGTTTCTTTGTAATCTCCTCTCTCTCTCTAGAGACTCACCCTCTTCTCTTGGGTTTAAGAACCCTAGGTCTAGTTTTGGGTTTGTTGTTGATGTATGTTACAAAATCCCTAGTTTGATTGTTGATTTTACATAATTGATGGATGTTCTCTTCAATGGCATGAGCGTGGTTTCCATTTTCATGCTTTGAGCTTTTGACCTAGGAGTGGAATAATCCCCTTAGAGCCCCTTCCTTAGCGTCTTTGGGTCACTCCTATCATATATTATCCGGGTGGTCACCGAGGGAGTTGATCCGACCGGTCTGCTAACAATATACGATACCCTAGGTTGAATAGAGCACTCGGGTCATTCCCGATGGAGTCCATCTCCAATCGGTAGTGTATTTGAGTCGATAGAGCTAGGAGGATACTCAAGATCGATCCAAAGGTCGGAAATAGGGGGATTTAACCCAAGAGACCTCCAACCTTGTAAATAGCTAGGTTAGTTAGTTTAATTCTTCTAATCACCATCCTAGGTTGGCTAGATAAATAACCCTAAACCTGAAGTAGGGTAAGCCTGGATCTCCGTGGTACGATAATTCTTATTGCTTGCTTGCCCTATGCTACACCCGGTCGGCGATTATACTTGGCCGTCGATTGGGATGTTGTAGTTAGAAAGAATCAGAACTCGGCCACAATTAATAAAGAACAGTTCTTTCCAAAAAAAAGAGGTTGTAGAGATTTTATCGTATTGAACAGTGATTTAGCCATTGAGATAAAATTGGTCAAGAACGGAGGGGACAGAGTAGGGCGGATCGGAAGTAAATACCCATACCCTGTCTCACGCTACTACGAGTAAGGTAATACATGCCCCGTCACAGATCAGGGCGGGTAATACCCGCGGGGCGGGTTCAAATTGCCAACACTACACCAAGCTAAAAAACTACCCTATGTTCCCGCAAGAATAGAACAATAAAGGGAGATTTTGTGACATGGAACTCGGCCACAATAATAAAGACGACTCTTTCCGGGGAAAAAAAGGAGGTTAGAGAGATTTTATCATATTCAACAGTGATTTAGCCGTTGGTTGACATGGACTTTTAATTATATAATAATAATAATAATAGTAATAGTAATAATAATAATAATAATAATGGGTCCTGGGTGGCTCCACCTATGGCTTATGCTCGTAATTAAAATATGCCAATAGATCAAGGAATTTAGTTACCGTCTTCATGGAACTTGACCAAGGTTGTTAACCCGCGGGTCGACCCGCGGGTCGACCCGGATTAACCCGGACCCGGCCAAAAAAACGGGTCATACTAACCCATTTTACTATCAGCCCGGAAATGGTCAAACCCGGGTTGGCCCGGCCGGTTAGCCCGTTGGAACGGGTCAGCGGGTTGCTCTTCCTGAGCCTCGTTTTGGCCGTTACGGCGCCGTTTTGGCTTGGAATAAACGAGCGGTTCACTTCTTCTTCTTCTCCCTGCAGCGAAACCCTAGAGACTCCATTAGCCCATTTCGATTTCCAGCAGGCTGCAGCGCAGCCGTGTTCCGCCATCTCCAGGGTTCTTTGGCGGCGTGGTCGCGGTCGCCGGCGGAAGAATAGGTTGGCCTCTGCTCTCGCCATCTCCAGCGGTTCAATTCTTCTTCTTCTCCCTGCTCGGCCTCTGCTCGCGCCTCTGCTCGGCCTCCTCTGCTCGGCCTCTGCTCGCGAGTCGCGCCTCTGCTCGGCCTCCTCTGCCCAGCCTCCTCTGCCCGACCGCCTCTTCACAAACTCAATTTCCATTTGGTAAGGGTTTGATCTTTGACTCAATTTCCATTCTCAAGGGTTTGACTCCAATAAATGGAAACGAATTTTGTGAATGGTTTGATAGAATTTTGTAAATGGAAACGAATTTTGTGAATGGTTTCATTTGGTAAGGGTTTGACCTTTCCGGGCTAAGCCGGGCTAAACCGGGCTAAAACGGGTGACCCATTGACCCATGACCCACTAGCTCGTCCGGGTCCGGATCGACCCGCGGTTTGACAACCTTGAACTTGACATATGTACCGTGGTTATTATTATTGATCACGAGGATCATCCGTGTATATCAAATTTCCGGTCTATGAATCCCCTTAAGCTAAGCTCAGTATATCTATCTTAAGCCGGAATCGAATGAGATTATTTGCTGGCTAGGGTATGAATGTGGGTCGTTTTCGCTCGTTATCCAAAGACCGGAAATTTACACGCAGGGTTTGACTTGGATGGATAAACAACATCTCCAAAACCTGGATTGGGATGGAAACCATTGAATTGAAGCTAGCTTGCTTCTGTTGTGCGCTGAAGCAGATAACAAAGTTTTAACTAAAATCAATTAATTAGGTCTAAAACTAAAATAATAGGTAGGTATGAGATTGAAAAGCACAGGGCGTTGACATCAACGGGGCTTGCTTGCTGTTGTTTGTGTTGCCTCGTCATCATATCACCAACTCCTCTGTCTCCGTCACACAGATAAGATCGACCAAAATGAAGTCACGGTTGGCATCATAGAGATGATCGGACGGCCACAAATATTCAACGGTAATGGTGATGTGCCCATTTTCTTCGTCCACCATCCTTCCATTCTTTTACCTTTGTTAGCTTCAAAGAAACCATCGATTAAAGCTGCACGAATAATCTCAAGACAAGCCAATACTTTCATACTGGATTACCGCACTCCTTTTACTTTAAGACGACAAAATAATTCCCTCGTCAATCAACTACGAAAAAAGACTAAGTAAAAAATGCAACATGATAAGTTTTATTTGTGCGGATGAATTTGAGATAAAAAATCACTAAACCCAGTAGTCAGAAATTCATTTAAGGGGTCAAACGTGGAAAAAATATATATAACATATATTTCAGGATATGCTCATGTTTTGAAATTTTTTCTAAAATACATTCATCACGCAAATTATGAGGGATGTTATGTTAAGACACCACAGGAAAAAGTCCTTCATGATTCATAACTCATCTTACTTAGAACTTAGAAGTATTACTTTACTTTGCTTATTGCAGTAAGTACTGTTTCAGCACTTGAATGACAACCGATAGCAACAAATAACTCATAAGTTTGAGTTTTTGTAGATATTAACTCACCAACTGAATATATGAATTAAGAGTTAGATATAAATCACAAAAAATTAGTTTTCGTAAAATTATCTATAATAATATAGATATCTTGTATTCAATCAACAATTGCATAAATATAATTACTCCACATCTTTTAGCCAAGATGGTGCAAATGACCCACCTTGGCTACAAGTGACTCCGCCACTGAACCCACTCATTGTTCACCTTTATTAGGGGTGGCAAATGATTAGTCGGTTATCGGTTTTAGCCGATAATTGATCAGACAGTTAATGATTAACTGATAACCACTAATTTCTTAATGATTTGGTTTTAGTTAGTTGTATTTTGCTTAATGGTTAACCACTAACTGACTAATCGATTAGTTGTTAATCGATGAAAAACCAATAACCGCCTATTAGTATAACCACATAGTTTTGGTCTTTGGATAAGAAAAAAATCTCAAGGCCCAAAACCGACAAAAGCCACAATTCTAGACATCTCAATTTCCACCTATTGCAAACAAGCCTCCACCCAAAATCTTAAATGTGTTTAAGAGTCAGAACCCAAAAGTCATCCACTTTGACTCCCATTTGCAATCGATAGAGCGAACATCACCCCCTAGTAGTCTTTAATTTGTTCTTTGATGTTTGTGGATAATGATGATCTTGTGGTTCTTGTGTTTGATATCTTGGTAGTTGATTTTCATTAATTAGATGAAGTCATTTGATTATTTATAATTTAATGTTTACAGTTTGGGTTTGGATTATGAATTCACGATGGATGTTGTATTGATTTTATTTCTTATCATTAGTATTTTATGGCAATAATATAAAAGTATAGTTAAATTGTTTCACAAATGGTTAGAATTAAATGACGCATGTTAAACTTAATTGGATGATGATTTGTGTATTAAAAGGATTAAACATATTTGTACTTGTTGGGACGTATATTAGTAATTATTGGTTAACTGCCTAACTAATCGCAAGTCGAACCGATAAGAGACAGTTAACCAATAAGACTTATTGGTTTGGTTATCGGTACGAGGTTTTTGCTTATTGGTGAACCACTAACCACCATATTAGTTAGTGGTTAACCAACACTGAACCGACCACCACCCATAACCTCTATTATGCCACACTCATTTGGAGGAGTGGTGTGGAGAAGTTTGGTTTCGGTTTTGCGTATTTAATAAGAAGCCAAAGAGTATGCAGTGGACAAAAAGAATCTGAGTGGGAAAAAACAAAATTATCCGCTGACTCGCATGAAACTACACCATAAATTAATCCCGACTAGAGTCCAAGTTTTTAAACTCTAGCCGGGTGCAGTATAGAGCAAGTATTTAAATATCGACTTGGGTCGGTCCATGTACCCCAACTTCAATCGCTTAAGTTGTTATCTAGCAAAACGGTTTTGGGTTTTAAAACTAAGAAAACTACAAACTAAACTAGCAAGGAAATGTAAATAAAGGAAAACTTTAACTAATAGAGATTCACCCAGGAGTTGCTTCCCCCTGACTAACTACCAAGCCTCGTTGGATTGGAAAGATTGCTTTGGGCAAGGCAACCGCGAACCGCAGAGGGATGC